CCCCCAAGAAAAATAAAATGGCTAATATTCACCAATAGTCAGATAATCTATCAAGAAGCCAACAAAATACCTCCTGTGGTGCAGCACAAAGAAGATAAAAACAGTGATAGTTTCGCTCAGGGTCAGAAACTTGGCAAACACGAGATCTCTCTAGAAGGTAAGTTCTGATGGCAGCTCCTGATATTCTTCCATGCTTATCAAACTGGATCTCAACAAATTTACCAAAACGGCTGCAGCAATATTAGTTTTAGGAAAGATCAGTGTCAAACCACACAAAAAAGGAAAAAAAAAAAAAACTTTACAGAAATATAACTGCATTGTTCTGTATATATGAAAATTAAATGCAATTAATGTGATGACTTGAATAATTTCTTCTGCAGCAGGAAAGATTTGATAAAATAAATTGCCTGTTACTTGCTAGTATGTTCAGTGCATAAGACATTCTCATAAAGTGTATATTTTGTCATTGATTAATAAACAGTTGGATACAAAGAGGGAAATCAATATCCTTCCTTGGTATCTTTTTATAGAAGTGTCTTACCTGGAGTTGTTATTTCGAACAGTTTTAGCATTTCCAAATGCTTCAAGTACTGGATTAGACTGCATTCGGATAGTATAACGTTCTTATCAGATATCATGCAAGATAATATGAAATCAATTAAACTTCATCAAAGTAACAGGAGTTAAAGTCATCAATCATACTTCAAGAACTTGTTGTTCAACTGTCCGTCCTTCAGTGGCAACTCGACCACCTAGAAAGGCAAGGTATCGCATAAGCATTTTCGTGGTCTCAGTTTTACCTGCTCCACTTTCACCACTGACCAGAATTGAATTGCTTTTCCCTTCATTAATCATGGCCCTGATTGTAGTTGAAGATTTTTCTTTAAAACTTGTTCATCAATAAGAAAAAATAGAAAAAGAAAAAAGAGAACTCAATGCATAAATTAAAGAAGAATGGTAATAACCTGTAAGCAACATCAGCAACTGCAAAAACATGAGGACTTAGTTCTCCAAAAGGGGCTCCCTTGTATTGTTGCATCATATGAGCATCATAGATGTGAGGCAGTCTTTGGAAAGGATTAATAGCAATTAGTATATTTCCTGTGTAAGTCTGCCATCAACATTATGTCAATAGTATTAATAGAAATATATATTGCAAAAAAAAAAAAACCCATGAGAAAAAGCAAGAAATTCTCTTAAAGACATGAATATTATCAATTCTAATTAGATGAAGGGAAGAGAAGCTTACATAAATTTCATTCAGTTCATATCTAATTCTCAAATTCTGCAAAACTCCAGGCTCATGTAGATAAGATAGCTTTGTCATGTCATCAACTCCACCAGCAGGAGCTTCCATATCTTTTGGGTATATTTTCGATAAGTTTGCAGTGATCTTAAAATCAACCAACATGACAAACATCAATATTAGGTCCAGGAAAAAAGATTAAGGTGGGAAAAGAATTGCTTTAACTGATAGATTTTACTGGGTTCTTTCCCCTATGATTAAAGCCAAGTAATTGAAACAGAGCTTAACTCAAATGAATTAAATGGAAGTTGCTTATTATAGGTAATACCCATACCTTTTTTCCATTACTAGTCTCAATCTGTGCATTTTTTCCATCAAGTTTTGAAACCTGCCCATCAATCCAAGCTTCATCTGGGTCTTCAACCCAGACATGAGAACCTACAATAATGTTCACAGGAGTTCCCTGCAATTAAAATATCAAAGCGTCAAACATTTTGTAAAGGAATTTTTCATTAAAGAAGACATTCAAATGTCAGACGGATCAACAGTCTCATTAGAAAAAACATTCAAATGTCAGACATTCAAATGACATGTACCAAAAATAAGAAAGTAAACAAATTCAAGTACTATCTAAAGTTCATATTACCATTGTTAAGCTCTCAATCCGAAGCCAAGCAAGGCATAGTTTCTTCTTTCATGTAGACCATTTAACTGCAAAAATATGACCATATGCGATTTCCTACCTTGAAAACATTTCAATTTCTAACCAAAAACTTTTGCCTTTTTGATATCAACCATGAGTACTCTTGTTGAAACCAACAAGACTCTTAACCAACACGTTGATTGCAAGAAAGGTTGGAATCCAAACATAAACCAAGGAATTACCAACACCCCATTTTCTTGAAAAGAAAATGCAATGGAATGGAAGCAAACTTCTGAGAAAAATGGAAAGAGAAAAAAAGAGAGAAAAGATTGGTGAGTTATTTGTGTTGTATGGAAGTGAATGCTGGGTTATTGAGAGACTGACATTGTTCAAGAAGACCGTTAAGTTCGGTTTTTTCCCCATTGTTTTCGAGCCAATTCGTGGCTACTAACCAAGTCTTTACTTATCTCTCTCTCTTGACGAAATGTCTTGGTCTGGTTAATTGTAGTGTCATGTATTAGTGAAACTCACATCAACAACCATGGCCATTGGATTGTAACTTCAATTCTGTTAATGAGGGAAAAGTGAATGTTTGATGGTGTTGCTGCCACCCATTCTTTCTTTCTCCAATTCTGATTCTGATACTGCATGTTTTCCATCTTTGAATCAAATTATGAACACAATTTTATAAACATAATTCAAAATCAGGTTTTTAACATGCCAAAAGAAGAAAAAGAAAACGACTAATCATGAATTCAATTGAATGCCAACTTATGATTTCTGACTTCTGCAATAACTAACCAATAATGCATGTTGGATTAAAGTCATTATGTGCATCTGCAAATCTTTTCTTTTATCTCTGTAATTTTTTTTTTATAAAAAAATTCATACAATTAATTGGATTTGGACTCACCACAATTATATAACTCAATTTATTAATCTTTGAAATAAATATTATTATTTCATAAAAATGAAATAAGTATTACTATGTTAAAGCTTTTGCTTTCTCGTGGTTATTAGAAATGAAACAGAATCCGAAGTTCAATTCAGTCGAAAACTGCTTTAAAGAACTTTAGGCTTAGTTATTTTTTAAATAGAACCCCTAAACCCAAGAATAGAATTGTTGCATGAATCTAGATTTTTTGCATTTTCCAGAACCCCCTGGAAAAATTGTTATTGTTCCTCACTGGACTGAAGAATACTTAGATCATAAAACATTTAAAACCCACGTGGTTTCTCCACATGTTTCTTTTTTTTTTTTTTTTTTGTTTTGGGCATTATCCAGGTAGATTCCAGGAAGCTTCAAAGAGCAAATTTTAGTTAATTTTTGTGTGGAAAAATTAGAGTGCAAATCATGCAAAGTGTCCTTAGGTTCTTTAATTTCTAGAATGGATTGTGATTTTGAAAATGACTGATGAGATTGCATGGATAGGCCTTCACTTATTTGATATTTAAATGAATTATATGACGTGAGTCTAATGGGAAAATCATTGACTGATTTATCCAAAAAAAAAAAAGGCATTCACCGGACTTATAAGAGACCTTGATATTCAGGATACCAAAATGCACATTTTCCTTTTCCTTGAGCATTTTCATTTGTTTCTTTAAAATTTTGTTGTTGTAAACTTCTTTTCACAGCCAGGAAAGCTTTCTCGCTAACTAGAGTTTGCTAAACTAACCGAGCAGACAATTTGGAAAAACAAAAAATTTTCCCTCCTACCAAGCAGTCTTTTTCTGAGTCTTTGAATCAATTTTCTATTGCCCTTTGTTTTTGTCAATTTTGTCACTTCATAAAAGGAAACTTTGTTTTTGTCAATTTGGTCACTTCATAAAAGGAAACTTGGTCTGATCTCTTACTCCCACCACTGCCTATAAAAAGGAATGAGCGGCCATCTCTTCTTCTTCAATGCAAAAACATGGGGAAGCTGAGGAATGAGCGACCAAAAATCCCATCAAAATCACATATTTCTAGTCCAACGATGGTTAAAGCAAGCAATGCTTCTGAGTTTCGTGCAATTGTTCAACAACTTACTGGCCAAAGTTCTAATATCGGAGAGCCATGCAACGTTCCTAAAACAATCACTAAGGATGCAAATCGAGTTCATTTTCCCTTTCAAGCCAATTCATCTGCAAAGATTGATGATAAAATTCTGTTGGACACATTTCCTGATGATACTTCTTCACTAGAGTTTGATGAAGGCTTTCTTTAGAGAGGTGTTCCATAGAATTTGTTTATCTTTCAATCTCCTTCCATTTTTGTATCGTTAAGGATTTTAGTTTTAGACCAGTATAATTAGCTATCTCACTTTGATGTTCATGAATGAATTTGAATGGTGGTCCAAATAAACTTCAAAGGATTGCAAATCATGGGATTTTTTTTTATAAATTCATTATTTTTTTGGTTGTCTGAAATTGAATCAACTAGAAGATTGGAAAAAAATAATTTTTCATAAATTCATTAAAACCAACATAAATTTATTTGAACCAATTCGAAAATATATATATATACTCCACAAAACCTAATAATCCCTAATAGCTCCCAAAAAAAATGTAACTATAATCTGGGATTTCGACCAATTTTCAGCTTGCTTAAGCAGGTGTGAAAGACAGCTATGTTATGATCCTTATACAAGTAAATTTCAGATATGACCATCCAATGTCACATATCAAGGGCTTTGTTTTCAGATTCTTTTTCACATGATTGTAGTTGCATTAAGTTTAAGCAAAAACTAATACACGGCCATTGCTCAGCTAAGTAAACAATATTTTTAATATTTTTTGAATAAATTGTTGCTATAGCACATTTTATGCAGGAAGATTATAGTGAATATATATATATATATATATATATATATATATATATAACATCAAGTTGATTGCAAATATGAGAATCTCACTAATGGAGACGAAAACAAAGCAAATTACCATTATGATGCTAAAATAAAGACTTTTACAAAGTCTTATGATCTTCTCTTAGATTTATACCTCAATCTGCATACATCAATGCAAATGCAAGTAAAAATATCATTACAGTTGGATGCAATTCGAAAGAAAGCAGTTGATATTTTTCTTTTCCAATCTCTGTAAAGGACCATCAAAATTCATCTACCGAAACATGGTCCAATTAGAGTCATAATAAAACTGAAGCATTCCACATTAAAGTTAAACACAAATATGACAAGTAGAACCACGAGACCCTACAAATATACACGTTAAATTACCATAAGAATCACTGTCCCACACTAGAAAGCACAGAGCCAAAAGGTCTAAGGCTAAGCTCTAACATTGTTTTTTGCATCAGGAACAAGTTCCTTGAGCAAAAAATTTACAAACTTTTTTGTCTTTTTTTCTCATTGAATTGATCTTCCTAAACTCACTCTCCTAAACCTAGATGGTAAAACAGAACCTTACGTCCACCATGTCAATTCCCATCATCAGCTGCTTTTAAGTAAAGGGTTTCACCCCCATCACCACCCTGACCCCCAGAGCTCCCTCCACGACCTTCAGCTGACCCACCACTCCCAATATCTTGCTTGCTTCCACCTGCCATTGCCCTGCCACCATGCATGCCTTCTCCAGAAGAGCCACGCCCAAAATCAGGAAACCCTCCTGCCCCAAGTGCTCCACTGCCACCTGCAGTGCTAGCTTCACTCTGCAGCATGTTAAGGCCCATGCTTCCACCAGAGCTCATACCAAGCTGACCGTGCAAAGCTTGTTGTTGAAGGCCTGAAAATGGTTGCTGAGCATACAACATTGAGGGCCGCGCAGCCAAAAGTGATTGTGGCGTCATCTGTTGAGCTTGTTGGTGCTGCATGTAGTGTCCAGCTCCAGGCTGCACAATACCGCTTGAAGGAAACTACAAGCAATTGATAAAGACATTCAGGAAATCTACTAATTGAAAGAGGTCTAGTGAAATTTTAACGTAAAAGGTGTTTAAAATCATTAATTTGCCTAGCAAGTTTCTCTTAAATCCAATAAAAAGAAGAAAACTGTTGGAGGGATATAGAAATGGGATTTGCACCTGGGGATGCACGGTGGGTGGTTGGGGTTGGGAATCTGCAATTGCAGCCAGGTACATGAGATTTCGCTGCAGCCTTGCTTGGTTCCTGCAACAATCAGAGCTAGTTACTGACCTTTCTAAGAACACAACCACAGACATCTTTACAACTAATTTATGGTTGGTTTATATTAGATATGCACCGATTCTTACAGTTATCTGCATTGCGCCAAATAGAAGAGTTGAGTTGAAAGGTCATGTAGAATCTAATATGCACGAGTTAGTTTAAACTATAATTACCAAATTCTCAGACATCCACCGGTATCTCAGTAAATTCTGGTGGATTCAAAACCATATTTGCTCAATTCATCCAGGGCAAATGCAGCCCCAGTTACTTCATAAATAATTCCAGTCCTAACATCCTTTGTTTCAGTCAAGAACCTTGGCTTTATTACCATGTTTTGCAAGTTATGAAAAGGGACAAAAATACTTGAATCTCGCTACAAACATTCAGGTAATTGAAATTAATAGATACTTCAGTAAGACTTCATATTAATTGATAACACTTATTTGCCAAACCTCTTGCTAGAAGAGTAGAAATTCAGAAACAACTTAGAGATGCAGTTATAATTTACAACAAGCCATTAAGCATCAGATGTTCCAAGCCAAGAGAACAAAAATTACCCAAAAGCCAAATTTGACAGAAATTTGAGATTGAAAATTAGCACTTACTCAGCACATTCACTCAATTTACCGGAATTCTGGCTCTCAACAATCTTTAAGATCAATGACTTGTTCTCATCAAGATACTGCATGTGTCAAAATGAAGTCATTGAACAAATTAAGAGAGATGCAACACTAAATTGGGAAGAAGATGCAGTAAATACTTTTTTAGAATCATAGTCTGACATCAATCAAGCCAACAACCATTTTTATTCGTATCCAATCTTAGTAATTCAAACAGCATCACCAGCATGACAATTAGGTGGAGGGGGAGCGTACTAAGATCATCAGTAACGGTAACTAGGAATCCCACAACAACAAACAAAGGAACCAAGGGTTTTCTCAAAAGGGTTACCAAATCCAAATATCATAGAATTTACCTTAATCCAAAAGCCAGATTTCAAATGTCCAACTTATGAAGAACATATATTTGTGTACACTAATAAGATTTAGGTGTTAATTTCATGTTAATTTCAGGACAACAGACTTAGGTGATAAAGGGTGTAGCGTATCAAGGAAACACATTAAGACAACATGAAAACACATAGAAAGGACCACCAATAAATGAAATTATCAAGAAAGGACCACATAAACAAGCCAAGGACAAATTGAAAGGTCATGTGTCACATGGAAGTAATGGAGGAGGACCACTACCAGAAAAGCATTTAGAACTAAAGTCAGGGGCCCCAGAGAAGTGTGGTAACAAAAGAATTCAAAATTTTTGCATGCATAAAAATCATAATGAAAAAGCTCATCACTGTAAACAAGAAAAGAGTTCCCATTTGCAATTCCGGACACCTATATTCTCCTGAGAAACTCTCATTACCAACTGCCTAGGGTTTTATTAAAGAAACGTATTAAAGCTTTGCTTGGTAAGAAAGGAGGAAAACTTGTTAATCTAATGATTAAGTGATAAAGTAGGAAAGCTGTTATGAATTTTAACCATCAGATTAACAAATTTTCCATCTTCACCTCTTTCCATCCTTCCTACCAAGCAAGGCCTAAGTGTAGAAACAAATCCTCTCTACATTACCCAGTTCCACCGAACTCAGTGTGAAAATGGTTTCTTTTGCTCCACTTCTCGTATTTACTATTGCAATTCTGTTTTCATCCAGAATAGGACTAAATATGCCTAAAGCCGTTAGTTACAAGCTAATCATTTTAACTTCTTTTATAGACTAGTTTAAACCTGATGAACATGGAAATTGTAACTCGGCATCTCATCATTACATTGACTAATAACAGCACAGATAAAAGGAAATTTTAACAAATGAAATCTTCACAGTGTGCTCTAATAGTTAACAAATGATGCATAGAAGGAAAAAGAAGAAACTTTACATTAAGCTAAGTTTCTTCCAGGGTTAATTGAAATGCTAGAAGTAGCATCTTCTTGCAGTAACAAATCAATCCATTACAAGGAGGTAAGAATTTAAAAGGAAATTGTAATAAGACCAACTAACACCAAGCTCACAAATTACTACTTTTCATTTTTGTGTAAACAAATCATGGGGAAAAAATCATTCTTTTATGGGAGATAGCTATAAGCCACACCAATAATGCTATCCAATCAAAACTCAGGAAACAACAAAAAGAGAAAGGGCGAAAGAGAGTGAAAAAGAAGTTCATCAAGTTAACTATAGGATAAAGCACCACATGCTGCTAAATTGCTGCTCAGAAGCCACTGGCTTTTAAGACATGGTTGAACCCTAGTAACTGGAAATTGAAGACAAGTTCCAAAACCAAACCCACTAAAGATAATTAGTAAATCTCAAAATGAGAAATACCCAAAAACCCATTTACCAGAGGCCTGTAAATTTCAAAACAAAAACCATCAAAAGTATACATAATAACCTACTTGCCATTACAAAGTTCTCCTTAGCAGCACGAAAAACAAATTTATATAAGCAATTAAAACCCACTCACCAACAGTCCTCAAACAAAAGAAGAAAGATAATAGTAGCTTTCACAAGTAACAAAAAGAAGATTACAGCTTCCATCAGTCTTTCACAATCAAAGAAAAAAGAAAGAAAGCAGAAAGAATGAGTATTAAGAAAATAAAATACTCCATGACATACATACTGATCAAAAACAGATAAATGAAAAGTAAGAGACAGAGAAAGGCAAGGGGAGGGGAGGGGAGGGAAGCGTAAGGGAGGACCTGTTGAATATGATCAGTAGTGACGTTGGGATAATAAGCTGCCATCATGGGCTGCATCAGGTGCTGCTGCATTTTCTTTCTTTATATACACACACACTCTCAGAAAGAAAAAAAAATTATAAGTATATATATATATATATATTTGTCTCTCTTTCTCTTACTCTTTTTCTATGCAAAAAAACTATCTCACTCCAAAACACAGTGAGCTGAAAGAGTAGAATCACTGCAAACAAACACAAAGAAAGAGAGACAAATAGAGATACCCTTTGCTTTTTCTATGTTTCTTCACTTTCTTTCTCACTTTTTATTTCCCTTGGTTACAATGACACAACAAGGAGAGAAAACAAAGACAGAAGAGACAACTAATGAAGATGAGATTCTCTCACTCAGCTCTTTGAAAGCTCTTTCTCTCTCTCTGTTCAGTAAGAACAGGGTTTCCTTTTTGGGTTTTTTTGTTGTTGCTTGCTAATTGCTAATCTTTCGCCTTCTCTGCCTGTAAGAAAGAACTGAGAGAGAGATAGGATCACGTGATGGATGATAGTTGGTACGGACAGTTGAGAGAGACAGAGCAGGAAAAGGAACAGTGGCTTACAGAAGGTCCTTGCACTTGCAGACAGTAAATTTGAAGTAACAAATAAAAAAAAAAAAGATTTTTATTACATTACATCCGGACATGACTCCGTCCGTTGGTCTTAGACCAGTTGGTCCAAATTCCAAACAGATCTTTTTTTTCTTACCAATATATTTTCTTAAGTGACGTTTGGATGTTGTAAAGAGATTCCATGTTTCTCATTTCTCTGCACCACCACTCGCCTCTTCCACTTCCCTGCGCGCGTGCACCGTTCTAGATGGGATAGGAACCATTCATAATATAATCCTGAAAAGTGAAAATTACATACTCGTTCAATTTTAATTTTTATTAAACTTAAAAATTATATATTTTATGAATAAATTATACAATTATTTATCTCTCGTTCAACTTTATGGCTTATTTATCAATTTTTTTCATTTTATTAATTTTTGGAAAATTTATTGATTCAATCCCTATCCACATCTCATCTAACATATTCACCAACGATTTACATTGACAAACGATACTAGCAATTAGGCGAATTCTAGTTGGCCGATTAGTTTCATTTTATTATAACTTGACATCAGAGTACTTAGAATTGGGACCCGAAGGTTCACATGGCTTCTGCTAGTGTTGTCCAATCGATTTCCAACTGGCCTAAATAGGACTTTTATGTCCATTATTAAGGTCAAGTGACCCCCAATCTTATCAACAGACCACCCTTGTACTGTAGAATTTTCTGTGGTGGGGTGATCACGGCAGTTCAGCTTTCAAACCTGTTAGCCCTGTGGGTCACCAAATCAGTGAGCCATGGGTCTACCCACTGTAAAAATTACAACGCACCTACCTTTGTTTGTAGGTTGGGTATCTTAACATAAATTAATTAAATTAAATTATTTATTTTTTCCATTGGAAATCAAAATTAAAAAAAAAAAGGAGGAGATGCTCCCATCTCTCCTAACATGATGGGTGGTTAGGGTGTCTCATTGATTTGTGTACTCAGATTCCAATCCTGCCTGTCCCACCGTTTCTCTTCACTGCTTTTGCTACGTTTCTGTAGATGCTCCCCTGCATTTCCCTCTTCGCATATATCTGCTTTTCTCGCACGCGCTTACTTTTCTTTCTTTTTGTTTTTTTTCTCGAATAATTTCTGATAAATAAATTGTTTAATTTTTTTTATTATTGTAAAATATTACTGAGATTATATATTCAAAATTAACATCGACAATCTTTCAAAAAAAAAATATATAAGTAAACTTTGTGTTAATAAAATCATAAGAAATTTAAAATTTTAATAATGTGAATAATATTATTTTAATATGCTCTTATTATATGTAAACATAAACTAAATTCTACCAATAACAAACTTAAAAAAATAACAATTAAAAATAGCATGCAAAACTTATAACAGACGAAAGATAGAAAAAAATAACATAACATAATTTGGATTTTAATATTATGTTTAGTATTTAATTTGCAATCAATTGATATTAAATAAAAAATTTTAATTAAAATATAAAATTTAACAAACTTGAATAACATTATATTAATAAATTTAAGATAACATCACTTGACCCGTTCAATTCAAAATCACTTTCATCGTAACGAATTTATTAATTGAGCTAACTTTAATTTGTTTCAATCTTCAAATGCTTCAAAAGTTGCTACAAATTTCTGTTTGGATTTGCTCCTTTTCCTTCTCTCTCTCTCTCTCTCTCTCTCTCTCTCTCTCTATATATATATATATATATATATTATTAATGCTTAGTTTGCTGTTTTCTCACATCGGGTCGTTCCTTCTAATTTACAGAAGGAAAAAGCATGGAGCAACGACCCTCTTAATATACATAAATACGATTATTTATATATTTATGTCATATAAAATATTAAAATTTATATATTTTATATAAAAAATTATATATTATAATTCATATTAATATAAAAATATAAAATATTATTTTATTTTATTAAATTTATATATAATTATTATTAAATTTTTAAATTATGTCATTTTTATATTTTATATTTATATCGTATTATCGTATCATATTTTAAATTATCAAATTTAATTATATATAGAACTAATGATGACATGAAAAGTAATAACTCATCATTTTTATTTTTTACTTTTGTTTTATATCAAATATTGTCAATATGCTTCTCATGAAAATAATTTAAGATAAATAAATTATTCAATTTAAATTAATTGAGATAAAATTTATAATACTTCTAATAATTTTATATTTAAAATTAACGTTAGCAAGAGTTTATTGAAAGTTATAAAAATCTTTTACTATTAAAGCAAACAAATTTATTAATTGAAGAAAATCATTCATATCAATTTGTGATAGACTAACATATATAATTTTTGTTGTAAATGCAGAATTCAAGCTAAACTTATACTATTAATCCAATACATCTGATTTTTTTTTTATCTTATTTCGTCAAACCTAATACTATTAATAAAGTTTAAACACATATTTATATAAATATAATGCATTTAAAATTATTTTCAAAATATTTCTTACACTTCAATTGATTGACCAAAAAAACTCTTAACCTTGTTAATAAGGCAAGTACCTTTGTCGGGTGGACTTTTTTTTTAAAAAAAAAAAAACAAAATTGGCTTATTAAAATATACATTGTCCACATTTATGTATATATGGACTTTTTTTATTTGACATTAAATAGAAATATCTTATTTATTTAAAGCGTTTAACACTTTCACTTATTATGCAAAAATAAATAAATAAATAAATATTCATGCTTGGGATGTAAAGAGAAATAAATTCTTAACATTCTCGCACTTCTTATGATTATGGGTGTTTTTTTTTTTTTTTGGTTAATTTGATTAATTTTGATTTAAATTATTTAAAATTAAATTAATTAAATTATGCTATTTTATTTTTATTAATTAAATTAAATTTTTTAAAATTTTCAATTAATCAAATAATAAAATACATTAAATTAAATTATATTTTAAAAATCTATTTTTTATATGTAAAAAAATTAAATTAAAATATTTAAAAAAAATATTCAAATACCAAAATATTAAATTTAAAACTCTAATAATTTGAAATAAAATAGATAATTTTATATATAAGTTTTATAATATTTTAATTAAATTTTAAGTATATTCGATTAATTTGATTTTTAATTTTAATTAATTAAAAATTAATTCAATAATTAATTAATTAATTGAACTAAATTAATTACTTCAATTAAAACCGAACTATTAACATGCCTACTTGTGACTCATTAAACTCTAAGCAAACAATTTTCAATTCTAGCTAGCTGCCTAATTTATTACCTCCGCACCCCCAAAAAAAATCAAACTATTGCTAGTGGGAATGAAAATCATTGGAAAGAGTGCCAATTTTGCCTAGATTTTGCAGTCTAAAATTTTGACAGCTAAGAGAGAAAATTGATGATGACAACCTTCACATGTTGTTGTTGTTGTTGTTCCTTTGGCTTTGTATTGTCTGCACCACCAATCTTTTCCATTTTCATGTCATTTCATTGCCTACGAAAATTTTGTAATTATATGGGTACCTTGAACCATCTTAAGAATTTTTATTGTTGCTCTGTCCACTTACCATGTGACTGCGATGAAAGGGCTTATGGTTATAGTATTATTATATATGAATTTTATGACCCACATTTTGACACTCCTAGGGACACTCACTTCCAAACCTAGAGGATAAATATAAGATTGAAATATATATATATATATATTATTTGTATTTCTCTCCACATTTCTTGCAAAAGTATGGACAATTGGAGGACATATTTGGGTTTTTATTTTTAATAGCATATGAGAAATTTAAGGAAATATTTAATAGAAATTTGATTATTTTATCTACTTATTTAGTAATAGTATTAGATATTGCCAATGGGACATGATTTCAATGGCAAAAAGGAGGCCTTTGGATCTTTATCTTTCTAAGTTCAAATTTCATGAAATTTAAATTTCGTCTAATTATATATTTATTTATTTTTTATTAGAATGATCTATTATTATCATTTTTTTAGTAATATAA